TTTCTTTTTCTGTCTCCCACTCAACTCCTGTGTGCTCCTACAGCTGGGGACCAGTGCTTTCAGTGGCAACACCCTCACTATTGCTTTGAATGAGGAGGGCTTTAATCAGCCCACAGCTCCTGTAATTTCCCGTGGTTTAGGCTGATAATGAGGATTTGGGTATGTAAAGAAACCCCTAAAGTACACATGGAGATCCACACAAGGGAGTGCAACTCTGAGCCTTGGGCATTAGTGACTGTGAATGGGTGAGTGCTCAGCACAGGAAACCAAACCAGGGGAGACAAAAGCCACACATCATCTTCCTGGGCTGGCAAATGCTGTTTATCTTATTTGTTTCAATGACTGGAGAACAAAAAGCTTTTCTTGCCTTTTGTGGGTCTGGAGCTGGGTTACACTTTAGCCTCAGCTCTGCACAGTTGCTTGCAGGATTTTGGCAAGGAAACCACCCTGGCCTGGTCTGGTCTGGGACTGGGAGGGGGGCTGGAGCTCCAGGAACCATGGGCATGAGTCCATCACCCCACCACAGAAACCAAAAGGACTCTGTGTTATGTCTGAGGAACCACAAATGAAAAGCAAGGAGAGGGGAAGCTCTTGCAGATCAGTGTTCTTTCTGGGTTAAAAAAAATATGAAATATGTCAAATGCTTCCTTGCCAGGGATCGTTTCTAGAAACAGAAACATCAACTGTGGTCACAGCTGGTCCTACCAGGGGATGTGCTCCAGCTTTGGGTGGACAACTGCAAAGCACGAGGGGTGGAAGGACGTTGCTGTGCCACCAGGTTCCCCAGCTGTGCAACTCCTTCCTGGCACTCCTGGCACCCCATTAGTGCTCCCAACTGTCATTTCAGAAGCCTCATTCTTCAGGCAGAGAAGGGGGAGAAACACATCAGGCCTCTTATTTCTGCTGGCAATGCTGGTCCTAAAAATAACTCCTTGAAGGACATGATGGAAGCTGCACTGGAGCTCGTTGATAGATAAATCTTGGCTGGATGGCAGGAGATGTTTCTAATGATGAAATGTGTTAAACACTGGGGATTCTTGTTCCTGGAGAAGAGGTGAAAACTTGTCCTGCCCGTGCCTGGATAGATAGGGATGTTCTCTGCCTCCAAAAGGGACAGCACCTCTGTGCTGAGGTCCTGTGTGGCTCAGGCTACAGGGGGTGAGGTGTGGGATGGGAACCCCCTGGGACATCACAGCCTGCACCTTCCAGACTGCCCTCATCCTGTAGTTTGGTCCCTGGAGGGACACGTGGGAGCAGTTTCAGCCTGTGTCACCTTGTCAGAGTCCCCAGGAGGCCAGGACATGGAGGGAAGAGAGCAGCTGTGCCCCAGCTGTGCCTGCTCCTTGGAGATGCTGGCAGAATGTTTGTCCCAAGGGACTCAGTTCCTCAGGCTCCTTCCCATCTCCTCCCTTCCCTTGCCTCTTCCTCAGGCTCTTCCTTTTGGCATTAGCTGGGAGGAGTGGGATTTCCTGCACCCTGCCAGGGCAGCCAGGCAGCATTTGGCATGAGTTATCCCAGTTACCTTGATCCATTGGTTGGTTAATGAGCCACTTGTTTGCCTGGTTACTGGGCACCACCACCTCTGCTGCTGGATGAGCTGCTGCCTCTCATCACACATCTCCCCTCATCCTGTAGGCTGTAAATCTTTTAGGAGCTACAGTTCATCCCTGTTTAAAGGGGACCCTGGCAGTGTGATTAAATGCTAAACCAGCCCTCCCCTACCTGTGTTTCCCACGGCCAGATCATCTTTGTGTTTGCTTTCTTGTCCTCCCACCAGCATCTCCCCAGACCTCATGGTACCAAAGCTGGGGCTGCTCTTATTCATGGGGCTGCAGAGAAGGGAGGGAGGGAAGCCAGGGAGGTTTAGATTGGATATTAGAACAAAAATATTTACTAAAAGAGTGCTCAAGCATTGGTTCAGGCTGCCCAGAGGGAAGTGCTGGAGTCCCCATCCCTGGAGGTGTTCAAAAACCATGCAGAGGTGGCACTTCAGGACGTGGTTTAATGGGCAGGGAGGTGTTGGGTTGACAGTTGGGCTGGATGACCTGAGAGGTCTTTTCCAACCTTAATGATGCCCTGATTTTATTCTGGGATATGACAGGGAAGGTCTGTGCTGTCTGGAAGACTCAAAAGCTTGGAGAAAGTGGTGAGATGTCCAAACTTTCCCGGGTACTTTCTGGAATGAACTGAGCCCCAGCCCATCCAAACTGTGCATCACCCAGCAGTGCACCCACCCCGTGGGAGGGAAGAGGGAGTCAAAAGTACCCTGTGCTAATTAAACCTCAGCCTCTCAGAATCCAATCAGGCCTCTCCAGAAGGCAGGAACGTTTGACACCAGCGACAGTTAAATAAGACTAGAGAGAAGCTTAAATTCTGATGCTCAAATGTGGAGTAAATTGATGATGAGGCAGATGTACCAGGTGGGTGCTTCTGAGGCATCTCAGTGCTTTGAACTGCAGGGCATCTCCTCAGCTCCTCTGGGGAAAGACTTAGGGGCATTTGCAAATGAAATCCATTAGGAATTTCTCAATTGAAGGTGAGGACATGGGGGGGTGACAAAGGCTTGATGGGAGCAGCAGGAGGAACAGACTCATGTTCTGAGGTGTTTGTCACAGCCTGATGGGCAGACGCGTCTCCACGTGGTTCTTGCAGCTCTGTTCTCAGGTGGTGGGTCTGCCCAGAAAGCTGGTGGTGGCTTGCTGAACCAGGGGCTTGTTTGGACACCAGTGGCATCTGCTGGTCCTGCCAGGCTCTGGTGGCCAGGAGGCAGTGCCATGGCAGGAGATGCTGGGGAGGAGGAGCCAGGCTGGCTGTCCCCAGAGGGTGGCTTCCCACCAGGCTCCACGTTGCTTCTGGGTAGCACAGCACTCCTGGGGCTCCCATTAATGGGATATGGGGCCTGGCAAGGAGACCTTGAAGTGCCAGCCTGGCTCCCAGCCAGCCTTGCAGATGCAAGAGAGTGTCTGGCCAGGGTACCCCAGGCACTTGATTCTTGATCACTCCCTTCTCTGCTGGCTGGAGCTGCCGTGCCAAAAGCTGACTTGGAGCCCTAGGAAAGAGTGGGGACAGGTCCCTCACCTGGGGAGGATGGTACCTCAGGGTACCAGGGGGACAAGGCACCCAAAGGATCCCACCAGGCTGCCTGAGTCCCCCAGAGGAGCTGCTCTGCTTTCTGCCAGTGGCCACTCCTTGGGCCACTGGTTGGTGAAGAACCCTCCTGGCTAGAGCCACCTCCTTCCTTCCTGCTGCCATCAAGAGGTCATGGGACAGCTCTTGAACTTGGTTCCAAAGCCCCAGCTCACTCCTGCAGAGCAGGGACAACTCATTATTTGTGGTCCTTTGGCAGTGGGTACATCCATCGTGGCACATTTGTATCTCTCCCCTGCTCAGCAGAGGCACAGGAATATTTGGCAGCACACTGCCTCCCAGTTCTCCCAGTCCTCCCAGGGAGCCACTGACTGGCTGTCACACAGACAGGGCCACAGACACACAGCAAGACCCCAGAGCAGAGCCCTCCATGTCCTCTGGGCCAGGGGATGCCACGAGACACTGAGGATGCCCAAGCCCCTCAACTCCTTTTTCAAAGAGTGTTGCCTTGGAATAGTTTGGCTGAAAAGCTCAGTGAAACACTGGGAATGGTGCCTTTTTTCTTCTCCAGGCAATTGGAGGTGGGAGCCTTGGAGCTTCCTCCAGTGCCACGGACCAGGTACCTCTGTGTGGCTGCACCTGGGAGTTAGAGCAGCCAAGGTCTGTCCCCCACTGGTGTTTGCAGCACATCAGCCATATCTGAGGGTCCCTGAAGGGTCAACATGACTTGGCTGAATCCTGGTGGCAGGTGCCTGGGAAAAGCTGTGCATTTGTCTTCCCTTCAGATAACCTGTTCTCTGAGTACAAGTGTAGAAATGATGATTTAAACACATCCAAATGCATGTAATTAATCACAAGTGCAACATTCCTCCTTCCTGCTGAGAAACCTTATTAACTGTGGGGGTGGAATCCTAAAATACTCTTTATCTGCCACGTTTTCAGCTCAAATTCTTCAGCTAGGAAAGCCTCAAGGGTGCAGACCTGGCCTTCCTTGAGCACAGGGTTCCAAAGCATCCTGCTGGTTTTGGAGGGGTCTCCACCTCTGCTCCAGCCCAGCTGCTGTTTCAGCTCTAGGCTGGGACTTCCAGGAGGCTCCAGCAGGTACAGGCAGCAGCAACCTGGCAGCCCCACTGCCAGAAACACCCCAGAGCTGAGGGCAAGGTTTGCTTTTATGCTGCTTGCAGCAGCAAGAGAGCCAGGCAAAAACTGCCAGAGACTCTTCCTGTGATCCGTGGTTCTATCCTGGGAGGGGAAGGCAGCACATTGCAGGGCTGGGAACACCATGACTCAAAAGATCTCTGAGCTGAGATTAGTGGAGACTAATGTCAGGCTGGCAGCACACCCAGGGGCTTGTGGCAAGCACACTGCTCCCAGGCAGAGCCCCTGAGCTGTCATCATGCCAGGGAAGATGGACAGGATACAAGGAACAGCATAATCTCCCTTCCCAGCATTGCTTCCTTTTCAGCTTAACATGTTAAAACATCAAAAGTCCTGAAAAAAAAATCCCACCACAACAAAAACCAAACCCAACCCATCTGCTACCAGAGCTAATAAAACACATCAGTTCTTGCTTCTGAAGGGCCAGTTGCTGCTAGATTGGACATCCCCAATAAAGCAAAGCTGCTTGAAGGCATCTTTTTGGTTCAGAAGGGTGTTTTCCTGCCAGCACAGGGCTCCTCAGGAGCCAACTGTGCAAGATCAGCTCTAGGTACAGGGAAAGGGACTCTGAATCCCAAAGGATTTCAGTGGAATGGAGAACTTTGGGAGCTGGGTTTGTCCCACGAGGGCTGAGAACCACCAGGTCCTTGCTGTGATACCCCAAGAATCATGCACTGACCCTTCCCATCCAGGTGAAATACCCAGGGCTGCTCCATTCTTCTGGTGACACTTGGGGCCAGTCCTTGGCTGTGAGGATGATGAAGTGGGCAGGGTGGTGAAGAGCTTGTGTGTGTCCCTCCTTCCCTCTCTTGCCCACAGAGTATTTGGTGCTGGAGAGCAACATCACCAAAGATTCTGAAAGGCAAAGTCACCTTCCAGCCATCAAAACCCTTTAGATGAGGCAGATGGGAAAGCAAAAGATATTCTTTAGGTTTGGGCAGTAAAACTGACATTGAACCCGTTTGCCTCATTTGTCAGGCTTTGATGATAGTTAATGACAGCTTAGAGGAGTTGTAAGTGATCTAAAAAAGCCATAAAAAGCTGCTTTGTGTCCTTGTTCAGGGGATGAATTTAACAGAACCATTACGGGGCTTTAAAACACTGGTTTTGACTTTCTAGAACCAGCTGTGGGATGATCCAGCTGCAGTTGGATCCCTCTTGCCTCTAAGAGAACATTTAAGAGGATTAATCCCAATAATTTTAATTCAACCAAATGACCTTACGTAACACGACCAAGGAATTAATGAGAATTCTCTCATGTGGGTCATCACCAGCCTGATTTGTTGTTTTGCCATCCCAGGGCACCTCAAAGATCTCAGGCAGAGCCTGGACAAAGTCACTGGACTGTGCAGCTCATTGCATGGGACCAGAAGATCAAGCACTTGGAGCAGGAGCCCCTTTTTTTTTTTCCCCTTTCACTGGCGGATGATTTGGGAAAGCACAAAAAGAACCCAGCTGGCAGCCCCCACTGCTGCTGCTTGAAACCCTTTTGGCTCCCAGGCTTTTTCCACAGGAAAAAAAAATGCAATCTCATCTCATGCAAATGCTGCTGCAGGAATCTGGGTAGCCCAGCTGTCTTACTTTGTTTGATTTTTTAAAAAAATCCAACAACCCACCACGAAACAACAACCCCCGGGCTAATTGTTCCTGACTGTGTTTCTTTGCTGTTCTCCCCTGAGCTGAGCAGGGTGCATATTGAAGCTCAGGAGGTGCATGGAGGGGTGTTCAGTGTTTGCTCTTCACCTGGAAGGCCCATGGGGAGGGCACAAAGTGACACAGGTGCAGGGTTGAGGGAAACCAAACCATCCCAGCGGCCTGACGGTGTGGAAAAGCTGAGGCTGTCCTGCTCCCTGCTCCCTCCTGTTGCTTCCTGATACCAGGCTTTTGGAAGGATAAGAAACTGCTTTGGGGGCAGCCAGAAAGAGGGTGTTGTTGTGTTGCTTCTGTATCAGCAAGCCTGGGGGTTCCCTCCCCCCTGCCTGCACCCTGAGACCCCAGTCCTCCCAGGAGAGCTGCTCCAGCCCTCACACCAGCTGCATGCCCTTGCTCTGGGCTTTCCCCAGGAGCTTCATCTCCTTCTTATGCTGGGGGTTCCAAAATTGGACACAATGGGGTCTCACGAGAGCTGAGGAACGGGGGGGAGTTCCCTCCTTTGCCCAGCTGGTCACACTCCTTGTGATGCAGCCCAGGACACACGACCTGTGTGTGCGACGCACGTTGCGTCCTGCTCTGCTGCCTGCACGGGGTGTAGGCAGAGCTGGGCACCTGCTTCTGCTCCTTCTGCTGGCCAGGAAGCTGGGAAATGATGTGACAAGAAACCCTCTTGCTCAGGATGGTTGTTGCCACCATCTTTTTTTGCCTGTAGACGAGCAGCTCTTCAGCTACCCGTGACTGGATCCTCCTGCAAACCTCAAATACACAAAATCTAGGCAGAACACACTTCATTTCCACCAAAACTAGAAACAAGTGCACTAAAGAAAATTCCCAGTGTGGTGCTGCATCCCCACAGCCCTGTGGCTTTCTGGAAGCAGCTCTTAGTCTTTTTTTAATTACTATTATTTTTTTAATTGAGTTCTACATCAGTGCTTCGTGTGGGCTTTGTGCTCCCTGGGGGGGTGATCCCTGCTTGGGTTGCAGGCTGGAGTTGAGAGATGATTTCTTGGACTGCACACTCAGTTCCCTGCCATGTGTCCTTCACCAGCCTGGGGTGTTGGGTGGGTTTTGGTACCTCCTCTTTGGGATGGGACCCTTCCCATCTCTGCTCAGTATTTACACTTCCTAACGGGGAGGCAGGGAGGGAAATACCCTTGCTTTTAAGTGTGGAGCAAACAGATTGAAAGAGAATAAACACTCTGCTGCACCCTGGACGTGATTATTTACTGTTGATAAGTGACAGACACCAGTGCTGATGTCTCAAAAGAAGGCAAGGCTGAGCAAATCCAGCCAGGGGCTGGTGCTGCCCCGAGAGGGACACGCTCGTCCTTTGAGATGGAACCACGTGAGGTGGAAGATGAAGGATCCTGCAGCTCCTCCCTGAGAATAAGTGTTACCCACTCTGAGCCTCGTTGTGCAGAGAGGCAAGCACAGAAGTTTCAGCCACCCAAGTGACAGCTTTGCTCTGCCAGGGACCAGTGGCCACCAGTGCCCAGGGGAGTCCCAGCCCTGCCCTGCTCCCGAGCACTGGTGGCAGCACAAAGGAGCTCCTCGTGTTTTGGGAGCTGCTGCTTCTTGAGAAGACACTGAGGACATGACCCCCTGTGCTGGCTGGTGCAGGGACACTGGTACAGACACTGAGAAGCTCACCAGGAGCAAACAATGTGTGCTTGCAGCCCAGAAAGCCATCTGTGTCCTGGGCTGCATCAGGAGAAGCGTGGCCAGCAGGGCAAGGGAGGGGGTTCATGAGACCCTACCTGGAGAACTGTGCCCAGTTTTGGAGACCCAACATAGGAAGGGCATGGAGAGTCCAGAGGAGGACATGGAGAGAGGGCTGGAGCAGCTCTGCTCTGGAGCCAGGCTGGGAGAGTTGGAGTGTTCAGCCTGGAGAAGAGAAGGCTCCAGGGAGACCTTAGAGCACCTTCCAGTGTCTGAAGGGGCTCCAGGAAAGCTGGGGAGGGACTTGGGACAAGGGCAGGGAGGGAGAGGACAAGGGGGAAGGGATTAAAACTGGAAGAGGGAGATTGAGGTGAGACATGAGGAGGAAATTGTTTGGTGTGAGGGTGGTGAGAGCCTGGCCCAGGTTGCCCAGGGAAGCTGTGGCTGCCCCATCCCTGGCAGTGTTGAAGGGCAGGTGGGATGGGGCTTGGAGCAGCCTGGGCTGGTGGGAGGTGTCCCTGCCCATGCAGGGGGTTGGAACTAGATGATCTTGAAGGTTCCTTCCAACCCAGACCATTCCATGATTCTACGTTAGGCACAAATTCAGCACCTTAGAAAAACACAAATGCTTCTCTTCCCTGCCCATGAACCTTTTGCAGTTGATTTGAACAAGCTCAGCCACTCCAGGGCTATGGATCTTGGCAGCATTTCAGTTGCCTGATGGATTTGCTTGTTTCTTAACACAAACCAGCTGCTTCATTAGAATAACCTCTTTGCATGCAAGGAATACTTGAGTGGTAGGAATTCAGTTGTGAGTGACCCAAAGGTATTTCCTCCAGGAAGGATTTTTTCCCCCAGCTGGGGAGTCAATCACAGGGCTCCATCAGTATTTCTTGGCCTGGTGTTAAAAAATCCAGGTTGGAAAAAATAATAAAATGACCCTTTGGAACGTGAGCTCCATTTGCAGTTTTTAGATGCCCCTGCCTGAAGAAGCAGTTTTGCTTTTCAAAACCAACCCCCCCCCCAAAAAAAAAAACCCAACCCCAAAGGACACCGGGCGTGTGGGCAAACGGTCCTCACCTCCAGGAATTCCTGGTGGGAATGGGATGTACAACGTGTCCTTCCAGAGCAGCCAGAGGGGAAGAAGAATGTGAGTTTGGAGAGGGCTGAGCTGTGCCTTTGCAGCCTCTGAAACACAAGGTCATGGGCATCTGCCTTCATTTAGTTTAACATAATCCAGGAGTTTTTAATCGCATTTCAGGCTATTAAATGAGTGAGAAGAGAATCACTGGAATTTAGCTTCATAACTCCCCTGTAAACAAACTTTTTCACCTCATCTCCAGATAAAAATAAATGTTTAAGTAGCTGAGTCGCTCTAACAGAGGATTTTCCATCAAAAATTGATCAACTCCTTCCCCACATATTAAAGTCAGATTTTTTTTTTGCATTATTTTTCCCAATTTGCAAACCAAGTTTGCAGAGTTTCCTTCAAAACAAGTGTGGTTTGTGGGGTTTTCTCTCTGTTCAGCCTCTACCAGAATAACCTGCTTGATTCTGGTATGAAACCTTCAATATTCTATTTTGAAAGAAAAAAAGGGGGGGAAAGGGAGAAAAGAAAATGAATCAGAAAAGTTTGCTGAGCAAAAATCAGGTTTGTAGGTGTGTCCATTCCAACATCCTCCCTGGAAAATCCACCTTGGATCAGTCTGTACCCTAAACAAACACATCTATACTCATGGCTGGGGCACAAGGCTCTGTACAAAAGCTGTGCAATGACCTTGAAGTACCTTAATTTGCCCAGATGAAGGTGAGGAGGGAGGACTGGACCATTCGTTTGCTTGCAAAACACTTGGGGTGTCATAATCTCCTGGTGATTTCTTGCCTGGTTTTATTCAAGCAAAACACTGTAATTTGAGGGATGTGCATTGATAGGGGAAAACTTCATCCAGCTGGAAAGGTCTTGCTGATTGAGAGGAAATCACCTCAGGGAAAACAGAAACAGTATGGGATTTATTTGCTCTGGAAGGTGGTTGGCAGTCTCTGTGTGTCTGTTCCAGACAGTTTGAAGCCACACAAACGTAGCAGGAAACATTTCAGAGGGCTTTGAGGTCTTGGAGTGATGGCAAAGCACAGGAGAGGAGAACCTGCGTGCAAAGCTGGGTTGGAAGATGCTGAGCTCTGGAAGGAAGAGGGGACACAGGGTGCCCACAGCAGGCTGTGCTGCTGAGCACTGTCAGCTTTCTCCCTTTGGCACAAGAAGGGCAAGTTGGGCAAGATTCAGTGTCTCCAGACCAGCCACGTTTAAGGAACTTCTTCCTACATACTTAGAGGCTGTGCTGGCGCCATCTCAGACACACAGACACTTCTTGAGAGCTCTTGGAGGGCAGGTGAGTTAGCAGAAGACAGGGGAAAAAATGTAAACATGGAGTCTAAATATAGAGGGAGAGAAGAGGAGGAAGAATTACAGACCAGTCAACTCCTAGAAGCTTTCAAGAGAGCTGAGCTATCAATCAAACCATCTGCAAGCACCTAAGGAGATAAAAAGGGAGATGAGTGACATCCAGCCTGGGGGATACAAAAGTGTTAGACTCACCTCTGGTTTCTCAGCAGATGTAGGAGGGGAACAGTTGGTGCCATCTCTGGATTTTGGGGAAGGTTTGATACAGCCCCTCTTGACTTTCAGATAGTGACCTGGAAAAACAGTCCAGGTAAAACTGCTTCAGATCTCACAGAGCAATGGATGAGCAGCCCAGAGCAGTTACCAGTGGCTCCTGGTCAGAGCAGAGGACTCTTGACCAGGACTCTGCAGGGATCTGGGCTGTTTGCTTCTGTTCTTTAATCCATGAAAATACATCATTCCACCTGTCAGTGACATGGAGCTGGGAGAGGTAGCTCAACACATCAGGGGATGAGCTTAAAATGATCTTACAAGGTTAGAGCAGTGAGGGCTGAGGGTGGTCAGTGCCTCTAGGAGGAGGAGGACCCATCAGGAAGAGCCATCCAAGTTACTAAACCTGGCTGAGGTGGGAAGGGCTGGAAGGGAAGGGCTAGAGTGGCTTGTCTGGGACTGAAACAGGGAGGGGAGAAACTCTGGACAACTCTTTTCCCCCAGGAGTGACCTAGGGAAAGGGGCTGCTGGCTTGGAGCAGCCCAGGCTGAGATGCAGCCCCAGCAGGCAGGAGCTGCCGGGTGCTCCATTTCCCAGCCCTGAGCTCAGAGCGTGGCAGCAGGGACACAGGCTGCTGGGATCTTCAGCTTTGCCTTTCTAACACCTCCCTTGTGCAGGAGAGAGGCTGAAGGCACCTAAGTGCCTTGCTGAAGGGGAGCCAAAGGGAGCTGCCCCACACAACACCCCCCTGCTTCCAGGGGTTTCATTTCCTCTGTAGTGAAGAAATAATTGCCCAGGCACTGGGCACTTCTTCAAGGTGAATGACTTGCTGGGGGGTGGCAGAAGATCTGATCTGCAGTGGGGCCGTTTTCCTCAGCAGTCCCCTGGCTTTTATTGCCTTGCTAAAACCAGTGATGACAAGCTGGGGCTTTGCTGTCAGCAGCTGCAGGACAGGGAGTCCCCACGAGCAGGGACATGGGACAGTCAGGTTGCTTCCCTTGCCTCTCACCATTCCGCTCCAAGCAGGGCCTTTCATTAGTCACTTGGTGAACGAAATGGCTTTTTAATTGCTCATAATTCCTTTTTCAAATTGCAGCATTGCCTTCCCCCATCCACAGCCCCCGGGGGATCCTTGTAAATCCCTTCCCTCCAGTGTGGCCAAGAGGAACGTGCAGGCAGCAGCTCCCTTCCTGGTCCAGATACAGGAATAAATACAAGCCAATGAGACAACAGAGGATTCACCTTTTTAGTGCTGAAAACCCTCTCCTCCCATTCATTTCCAGGTTGCTTAAGGAGTTCCCACTCTTGCCATGCTGCTCACTTCTGTTAGTTCCTGCACCCCGGGTGGTTTTCATGGTCACAGGATCCAAACCCCAGTGTGTCCTGCAGCACACACCTGGCTCGAGCTACTCCCCATAACAATACAGCTCCCAAGGGTGCTGCTGGAGCTTTAGGTGTCCTCTGGGCAGTAAAGCACAACAGCAGGCATGAACATTTCCAAGGGTCCATGGGAAAAGCAGCCACCAGCTTGCAGCCAAGGCAAGCAGGAGGAGAAAGGTTTGCTAAAAGCATGTAGGACACTAAACCAGTTCACAGTGTCCTAGCAGGCTTGGGAACAGCACTAGTCAATGGGGATTTGCTCACTCAAATACTAGGCAATGTGCTAACTGCATGATTGATGAATCCTTGGGTACTTCCTACAGCAAAACTTCATTCCTGGCATCCCCAGTGCTGCTTTCAGTGCCCGTGGCTGCCTTCCCAGGGAGCTTGCACAGAGGAACAATCAGGGTGGTTTTTTCCCCTCCGTGCACTTTCCTGCCCCCTTTAGAGGTGCTGCTTTTATGCCTGTGCTTTGAGTAGCAGCAGCATGTTGCCCAGCCAGCAGGGTGTTCACTGAGGGATCCCAGAGCCACTCTCCATCACTTCCTTCTGCCCCTTCAGCACAAGGAGCTGCCTGGCTTGGAAGAGTTAGACACACTGAGGACTGAGAAGTGAAAATGTCAGGCACCAGCCTCCCAGCACAAGGCCAGAGATGGTTTCAGCTCTGAAGAAGATCAGAACTCACCTCTTTCCTTGCCCATACCAGGTCCTTAGCTGATGCCTGTCAGTGCAAGGCAGGAACATCCTGAGCCCCTCTCCCATCTCCACCAGCATGGCCAGTGGCTGGACCAGACAAACCAGCTGCAGCCTTTTGCAGCCTTCACACTGCCCCATGTGCCTGTCCTCTTCTTACCCTTTCTTAGCCCCCTCTTATGTTTCCTTCTCTTAGTTGCCCCAACAACCAACATTTAGTCTCTCCTGCCCCAAAATCCAACCCCAAGCCAAGCACTCATGGAATGAATTCTCTCTGGTGATACTTTTGCCAACAGCCTGCCTGCCATGGGACCTCTGCTCTGCCCAGCTCCTTGCTGCAGGCTCCCAGCAAGGAGGAACTGGTGCTGTACAGTCCCTCCTGAATACCACCAGGATTGATGCAGATCCTTGTGCTTTGTGCCAGCTGTAGCTCTTCAGGTTTGGCTGCAACTTGGGACAAAAAACCCACATTTCCCAGCAGTTCAGCAACTTGTCTGAGTAGCAGCAAATGACCCGTGAGACCCAGCACCAACACATGGCTCTGCTGGGCCCCTCCCTCCCCATCACTCCAATGCTGCTGTTCCAAACCTCAGCACAAACACTGGATTCACACAAGATGAAAGTGCAAGATCATTTGCTGCCCATAACCAAAACCCCAACTAGCCCTAGAAGAATTTTTGGCCAGTTGGCAAGTCTGGATTGACTGAGTCAGAAAGGTTTTCATCCACCCCTGCTCTTCTCAGCCCAGGTTAGGTAAACCAGCAGCCAGCACTGTTCCTGGAGCTGGGATACCCAAGCAGGGAAATGAAAACATTCCCTGGACACCAATTAATTTGAACTTCTGCCTGTTTTGGGCTGTCTTTGCTTGTAGTCCTATTTTTCCAGGACTCAGAGGGTGTGGGAGCAGCTCCTCCCAGGAGCTCCGTGTTCAGCCATGGTTGTGGTGGGGAGAGCCAAGAGTTGGTGGCCTGTGTCAGAAAACCTTTCTGTGAGCTTCACATCAAGGGAAGCAGATCAGTGTCTGTGTCAGCATGTTTCTAACAGCCTTGTTCCTCCATGTAGTCATCTGTTAATAACACGGGGCTGGCATCCTGCCCTGTTGTTCTCCAGGCCATCCCAGCACTGGATCCATTGCAAGTTCACTATGATCCCTGCTAACTTCCCTCTCCCCAGAGGGGATGCCAGCTCTGCTCAGGGCCTTGGCTGCTGTGTCTCTGGTTTAGATAAGGGAAGCAAAAATGCTGTCAAAGAGACGTGGTTCTAGTTTTTATCAGAGACCAGGTCTGTTCCTGAAGGACTCTCTGTTGTCCAGTGAGAGGATGAGCTGAGCAGATCCTCCTCTCTGCCAGTGTTTAAGAGACAGGATCATAACTTATGTCTTCACTGGGAAGAATTCTTGTCAAAACACAATCAGCTCTGCAAATCTGTCCTAGCTGGTTTCTGGACACACCTGGGCTTCATCCATGAGCTACTTGGAGTTAAAAGAAAATCCAGAAGTCAGTCTTCTGACCTGAGCAGGGGACTGCAAGAACTCGCTCCATCCAGCAGTTCCTTCTGCAGAGTTGAATAGAGACTAACCCACAGAACATCCAGCCTGCAGAGCTGATGGGCTGTGGGTCTCAGAAGAACTTCTAGCACTGCCTTTAAAGGAGGTGGGAAGGGTTGTGAGGAGTTTTTAGTGCTACACAACTAAGTCACTTCCCCTGCCCTTGCCTGTGTCCCCACGCACACAGGGGTAGGTCCACTCTGGTTTCTTTTGTAAGGCATTCCAGCTGTTATTCTGAAAAGGACTAGACAAAACCAGGGGTTTCTACCACTTGTTGCAGTGGTTGAGATCTGATCTGATGGTCACTGGAAGCATTGAACACCCTTCCATTGACCCTGACAGGAATGATGCTGGAACCCTCCATGCGGTGACCAGGCTCTCCAGGCTCCTGGATCTGGGCTTCAGCTGGGAGGGAGGTACCATGTGCACCAACCCTGCAGAAAAAGGGAGAGCAGAAAGGATGCTGATTCCCTGGGCTCAGACACACTAGTGGTGCACACCCATGAGTGTTTAAAAGGAAATGCTGACTGACTGAAGTGAACCGAGCGAGCAGATGTGCTCGTGGAAAGAGCAGAGCTGGTCCCTTGAGCATCTCCCCCATTGAAATCACATCCTCAAGAGGTGGTGTTTTTTTTTGTCCTTTGCATTTTTCTGCAGGATCATCCATGAGGATGGCTTCTCTGGAGAAGACGTGAAGCAGTACAAGCCAGTGGTCTACAGCAACACCATACAGTCCCTGGCAGCTATTGTCCGTGCCATGGACACCTTGGGCATCGAGTACGGGGACAAGGAGCGACGGGTAAGTGCAGGTCACCCCTGCCTGGGTACAGAGAGCTCAGCACCTGCAGCCTCCAGGGCACAGAGGTACTGACAGGCTTGGGGCAACAAGGGGAACATGTCTCCTGGCTGGTGGGTGTGTGTTTGTGTGTGTATGTGCTGGATGCACAGGCTGCAAGGGGAGACCTCCCGGGGAGGAGTCGCGCTGCTGTTCCAGTCCCTTCCACCAACCTACTGCTGCAGGAGAGCTTGTGGGATTCTCTTGACTTCTGTGGGGGCTTTTTACCCACAGATCCCCTATGCAAGTGTACCCAGAGAGCAATTTCTCTTGCAAACAAGAGGGTGTATCTCTTGGGTGAGGTTCCTAAGGGCAGGGTGTGGGGCAGCAGCATTGGCAGGGGCATTATCAGAATAACTGGTGTCTAGCAGCCTCCTCCTGCCACACACCTAGGCCAGCCTGGCCTTTTACAGTTGCTGCTCTGTTGTTCCTTTGACCAGCTCTCTATTTTTAAAACAGTGGCTGCACTGTGAGGTGTCCCTGCCAGCCTCTTGCCTTTCCTTTTGGGCATTTCGGGCTCAGGCCAAGCCCACACAGAGCAGCTCAGGGAGCCCTGGAGGAGTCAAGACCACCCCTTTTGCAAACTGCCACCCCAGGGAAAGTAAAACGACTTGGTTTCCCTGGAAAGAAAAGAATTTCAGATGAAAGACCTGGTAGAGATGAAGGCCTATATATGCCACTGAGTTTGTCAGGACTATTTTTAGGTAGCTCTCAAATGACAGATGCACAACATACCCCAGCTCCTTATCTGAGGGCTGATAGTGAAAGCACTCACCAGAAAGGATGCCAAAATCCTGCTGGGGTGGCAAGGTATGAAGAGGTGCCTTATTTCCCCCCAGTCACAAAGGGGTATTTGGATTTCTTAGCATCCGGGGTATTTTTCCCACAGGAATCCTGGAGACACTTCCATCCCAAAGGTAGAGATGATACCATAATGGAGCTCTTGTGAGCTTGCTGGGAACTGGTGCTGATGGCTTTCCAAGTGAACACATTCATCTGGTGATTACTCAGTGACTCAGCTCTCAGCAAGGCAGCGTCTCTTGTCTCAGCTAAAAAACCTATGCCCAGGAAAGCAGAAACAAATCATTCTCCACGTCTGATAAATAGGCTGTGGCAGACAGCTTTAAACTGTAATTTTGATTTTGGTTTTATATTTCATGCCTGAAGCCCTCATTCCAGGAGGGAAACTCAGTGTTGCTTTCGTGCCAGGCCTGGCAAAGTGCAGGGTGTGGAGGGGGGGGAAGAAGCTGTTATCAGGACTGCCAGGAATGAGAGATGGAGCACTGGGCTGCACAAAATGTCACCTCTGGTCATATTCCTATGGAAAAGATGCCAAATGTTCCTAGGATCATATGATAACTCAGGCTGGAAAGGAGCTCAGGAGGTGTCAGCTCTGAGCTCAAACCAGGTTGCTCAGGCCTTTAGCCAGTTGGGTCTGAGATCCTCCAAGGCTAGAGACTGCACAGCCTCTCTAGGCAGCCTGGTCCACTGCTTTACTCTCTTGGTAGAATCCTGGAATCTTTTTCTAATCATGAAAAAAGACCTTCAAGATCATCCAGTCCAACTGTTAACCAAACACTGCCAAGGCCACCACTGCCCCATGTCCCTCAGCACCACATCTGCACAGCTTTTCAATACCTCCAGGGCTGGTGACTCCCTGGGCAGCCTGGACCAGGGCCTGACAACCCTTCCAGTGAAGAAATTTTTCCTAATATCCAATCTAGACCTCCCCTGGTGCAACCTGAGGCCATTTCCTCTTGTCCCATCAAGATGAAATGATCCAGGTTCCTCCTTGTTGCTGAGCATGAACCCACTCCTGTTCCCATTTATGCCTGATGGGATCCCAAGTGACACCTTGCAAAGTGAGATGTTCTCCCCAACCTTGTTTCCCCTGAGGTATGTAGTTAGTCCTGCCTTAAGTGTCCAGACAACCCTGCACCAAACCCCTGCAAGAGGTTGGGAGGCTGATCCAGAGTATCTTCTCCCATTGTAGATGGGAGCAGTATCCATCCAGCAGCACACAGAGGGGAAAAAAACCAAGTCTCTCAGGCCATGGTCTTCCACTTGCTCCTTTCCCTTAGTCAAATTCGACAGAAAGTAGCTGCTCCTTGTAGGAAATAGTATTTATTTAAGGCTTCCAAAGAAGCACGTGGCTTCTCCTCTCCTGCTTTTGTTATGAATGCACAGTTGCTCTAAAGAGAGGCCATTCAAGGGGTGATTTGTGGAGCATTATGCTCCATGGTTCATCCCTTTGCAAGCCAAGCTTTTCTATTTTGAAAGCCATTCCTTAGCCAAGGGTTTCCTGTGCAAATTTTGTAGGGGAGGATTTTCCCCTGCTCATCCCTTAAGCCCCCAAGAGAATAAAGCTGGGGCAGGGGAGCTGGGGCTGCTCTCAGCCTGATTCAGCAGCAAGGAAGGAAGTGGCACATGCCCAGGACAGGTTTTCCCCAGGAATTTCTTGGCTGTTACAGCTTCTCCCACTCCCAGCTTCATGGGAGTTACATCTTCCCCTCTATCCCTTCCAAAGGGCAACCTGGTAATGTTGAGAGCAAAAAAAAACCAAAAAACCCAAACCAAACCTCCCCTACTTAATAAAGGTGAATGAGATGACTTGTGCTTTTGATATTGAGGGGAAATAACCAAATTCTCTCTCACTGTTCTCATTTTTCCCCTGCCCATGAGTTTACCTTCAGTATTTAGTCTAACACAAGTGAAAGGCTGGAAGAAGAGTCCAGACTAAATCCTTTCTTGTCAGCCAAGGTGAGATCAACATAGGAAATACGAGCTGGAAGACAAAATAAATCACAAAAAAGCAGATGCTCCAGGTCTCACTGACCCTCTCTGCTGCTGAGGACCTGTCCCCAGGTTAAGGACAGAACAGTCTGGGTGTAGGATTTCACCTCTGTATGTGCTCCTTGCTCAGGGAGCTGCTTGTCTGGTCACGGGTCGTGGCCTGGGGCCTTGCTCCCTATCCCTCAGCACATCCTGCCAGCCCATGGCACGTCAGCCAGCCCAGAAGGTCACTCTGAAACTCCAGAAAAGCTGTGCAAGGGCAAAGTCACAAACCCTCTCCTCCCTGCAGGTGGGCAGGTGAGAAAGGAGCAGTCGGTGAGGAGCCCAGAGCAGCATCTCTGGGGGCTCCTCATCTCCTGGGCCAGCCCTGCCCTCAGGCTGGACCCCCAGAGCAAGGGGCTACTTGAAGAGGGGCAGAGGGTGGTCTCACCTGGCTACTGGAGCTGGGCCCGAGGGCACAACTCAGTCCTTCCCTTTAGAATCAGATGAACAGGCAGGAGAGAGGCTCTAACATGCAGCCTCTGGATGAAGTGCTCCTCTAAGGTGCAAATTATTAGTTCAGCAAGCTCCTCACTGCTTCCCTCCCAGTGTGCCCAGGCAGAGCAAATGGGAAATGGGGATTCAGAGCCAGGGATCTAGAAGGCATCACAAGTGTCTGATGAAGCAGGAAGGGCAGGGAAGTGATGGATTTTCATCTCTCTGTTTGGGAGAGCTAGTTCCAAAGTCTGGCTTAAGAAATCCCAACCAGGAGTGTCAAGTGTCTTCCTCAGTGGGTCAATGGTGACCTCAGAAGGTGCTTGGGAATGCAGCACCCACAGTCCCACCCGGGCAAAAAGCCAGAGCTGCAGCCAGGGTTGGGGGTCTGGGGGTGGTCACCAGCTTGGAGTGGTCCCAGGCTGCAGCCTGCCCAGGAAAGGACACCCCCCCTGGGCAGGGTGGTGTGAAAACAGTTGTAGACCTGTTTGTCCTTCAGCACAAACCAGACAGAAACAGGCTGAAACGGTTCAGAAATTGCCCAAGAGAGAATCCCAGGAGCAGGCGTGGCTGTCACCAGATCCAAGTGGCTTGAGGTGACAAGGGTCACAGGTTGGGGTCTGGAGGTGGCAGGAGGGGCCCTTCCCATTGAGCTTTTCTCCCAGTGGGAGGCTGAAAATGCCTCTGCTTTCAGCTCTGAAAGGGAAAATGAAGCAGCAGCTGAAGTCTTCACGTTTTTTCAGCAGGGATTTTTATCCCTTTCTCAGGCTTTGTGGCAAAGTGTGTCTGTGATGATCTGCTCTGCAGTGGGGGGGTCTGGAACTGGGAGCTGAACAAAGGGGTGCGTGGGACATCTGCACATACTGGCTGGTATTATTGAGATAAAAGGTGGTCTGGGGGGTGGACACAGGATTCCTGGGGGATCCTGCAGTGAGGATAAGGCCAGCCCTTGCTGCTCTGCTCTTGTGAGGGCTGGGGGCTTCCCCACAGTGCAGCGTGACCTCGGGCTGCTTTGCAGGGGAGGGGAGTGGAGTGGGATGAAGGGGATAAGGGGAGGATTAGCCACCCCAGTTTTGGCTGCTGGTGGCACTTGTCTGGCTGCCCAGCTGCAGCTGAAGTCTGCTCCCAGCCCCAGTGTGCATGGAGCCATGCCTGCTGTGCTGGCTTCATCACTGCAGCAGGTATTTCAGCCTGCCCTTTGCCAAGGGGTAAAGATCTCCCACTCCTTTCTATTCAGACCAAAGGCATCTTCCTCCCTCACCTCCCTCTCCCTCCCTCCACCAGGTGCAGTTCAGTGACCAGCATTCATCTTTCTGAGCAGTGGAGACACATAAAAGGCAGGGCACTTCTCCAGAGGTGGGAAACATAAACCAGAAAGGAGAGCACTTGTTATTTCCCCAGCCTGCCTAGTTGCCAGGGAGATGGTTGGCTCCTTCAAGGAAGGCTTGTTGCTGCTGCCTGAGGTGGCCAATGTCTTGGGAATCACTGCTGCAAAATAAGGCTGGAGAAGAAAGAGGGGCTCAGCAGAGAACAAGGGAAATCCCAGAGTAAGCTCTCTCTGCACAGTGCAGGGGGTGGGACCCACCAGCCTCCCTGCTTTCATTCTGGAGTCTCTCAAACCCAAAGCTCCGTCTTCCACAACCCACTAATAAACTTTCCTCCTTTGGCACTTTCCAATCCCTTGAGTCCCTGGAAGT